ATCGCATATTTTGGCAAGCCCTGGTTAACAATTATTTAGAAAGTAAAGGATACCCAGAGGAGACCGATCATAAGGAAGCCCATGGTCAAATTCCTCATTGCGCAATTGAAGTGCCATCATGCAAACGAGGACTAACGTAGTGTAGAGGCAAAGGGCGTTGCTACCACGTGCATAGTTAGAGGATCTATTTCGTGCGCTGACGAGGCCTCAGGTCCACCGAAAATTCCGTCTCTCTATGACCGATCGGGTCGTGCCAGACCATGGATAAAACACTACTTCACATCAACTGCCCCCCCCCCCAACTCATTCTGCTGGTCAACTCGCTCTCACAGTGTACAACGGTTCCGAAAGGAAGTATGTCACGCAGCGCATCCCGAAAGGGATGATCTACGTCGAGTATTGTACCCTTCCGCCTGTGTGACGATAATGGGGAAAGAAGTATGAGAGGCTTGTTCCGAAATTGATCCTCCAATAATGTAAAGAAGATACTCAAATTTGAAGTAGAAAAGGGTTCACAATTTGCTAGTATCGAGCGAGAAAGCCAATATTTGCGAAGTTCGAAAGGATAAAGGGGCGGAAGTGGTGTAGTGGCAAGTGGCACGCTTACCACGCGAGCGGTCCGGGGATCAAATCCTGGGTCGTGAGTCGCCCGGGCCAACCAAGCCTTCCATCCCTCCGGGGTCGGTTAATTGGTACCAGACTTGTCTGGGAGGATAAAAACACTGACTTGTACATCGGCTGGCCCCCGCAAGTCATTGTATAGGCCACATCGCATTCAAACGCCACTGCGAATGTACAAATGGAAGTAGAATGCGTGCCGCATCCCAAAATAGATTTTCCACATTTCCCTAAAACATTTTCTACATCTAAGGAAAATCGTAGAAAGCTTCAAATTCCACAAGAGCCGTACGATCAGAGCCAGAAGTCTTAAGCAATTTTGAGAACTTCTTGAGCCCTGAGATATAAATGGACAACATGGGCAAAGTAGCCGGCTCTAGGCGCTGTGTTGCCCTTCTTAAATCTGAACCAACTTTTTCAGAACAGATGCACTTGGATCGTTTGTGACCATTTTCTTTTTTTTCTGCAGGTGAGGTAGGAGGCACCATATCTTGTCCAAAAGCCGTATCCTAACTTTCCCCCAGGTTGGGGGAACAAAAGGGTCCTTCAAATTCTTTGTTTTCAACGACACTGTTCCCTTACTTTCCGCACTAGTTTGCTTTCACACACATATATACATTACAAATATGCAGTTTGTCAGGGCGATTCCCGTTGGAATGGCAGAGAATTTTGAAGGATTTTTCGTTCCCTAACCTGAGGAAGGATAGGACACGGCCCCGGAGCTTCGGTTGTTTTACGTGAGCTGCTTTTATTACAATGAGCAGCTATACATTCAAAGTTACGATAGCAATTGGGCGAACGCAGGCTAAAACTTCAAGGCATTGTTAAAAGCCGATCAACTTATTTTTTCTACTGTTGAGAAAAAAAGAAAGTTGAAAGGAACATTCAGCAAATGAAATGTTCACCTGTGCCGGAATCGAAAATCGAAATAGCCTCTTCAGATCTTCCGGATCAGAGACGCGATCTTGCGATAATTGGATACGTGTGTTATCTACGGCTCTGAAATGACGCCGATAAAAAATCAATTATTTCAAAACAAAGATGAATAATAAAGCAATGGATGTTCAAAAACAGAAAAAAATA